CGTCGTCGGCCTCCGCTTCTTTCGTCCACAGACCACGCTCGGCCTCTCCAACCTTCGCCAGTTTCCTCTCCGAAATACTCTGTGATTTTAAGAAAAGCGTCAAACGACTCCCAACATTCTTCCGAATTTTCTGCAATTTCTTTGGAATTTTTGGAAGCTGGGAGTTTTATGAAGGGGGTCGAAGTGTTTGGGGTACCATCGTCGTAGACGACGAAGTAATTAACGTTTTCGATAAATCGTGCGATGAATGGACGATTGAGAAAAATTTGGATCGCGAAGATAAAAGAATGGAGTATACCGTGAAGATGTTGGAGAACGAAGAGGAAATAAGGGTTGAAGGCGTACACCTGCGAGTCGCCCGTCAATTACAGCTCGCCCATATGCCGTTCGTGCTTCACTCGTTGTGTCACGCGTCGCTGCGGGTCCGATATTAACAGTGTTCCGAATCGCGAGTCGAAATCGAGGATCGTGCAGGCCTCGTGACTCTCGAAGCGGTAAAAATTCCTCGGGACGATTTATCAGAGCCGCAATTTCCGAGAAGCTCTCGCCACCGTGACGTAACGCGTCCTCTTCGATATTCTCCGGCGAGGCGTGAAGAATCGCTGTTTGTCTTGCTGACAGAGCGGCGATAATAACGGAAGGAACGGGACGGATAATTGGACGAGACGTGAAATTGATAATACCGCGACAGGATGCAAATCGGTATTGAAAAATCGTGGCGAAAGACGCTACCGATCGACTCGGTGTCACGCTACCATTCGCGGGAAATAACGTCGATGGATAACCGGTCCTTCCGGCTCTTCCGGCCTCCTTCCCCTTTTCTTCGGCTCCTCTGTCCTCGAGGAGGTACTTGGTTAATTTACGACGAGTCGAACGACTCCACGTTCGTCCGGATTTACATAACACGCCGAAAAATACACGACGATCGAAGGATGAGCGGATGAAACGAGGTGTATACGAGCAGAGGCTGGTAAGAGGGAGCGAGACAAAATGGTTGATGAAGGATTGATATCGCATAGGTGTGTTACGACAAGAATGATTTCTGTTTTCGTGGAACGCTCTATCGTGGTCTAGCCGGGCGATTTTTTTCTTCTAATTTCGACATTAATAACAGACGGATACACGTCCGAGGACTTCGAGACACGGGAGTATACGAGAGGCTCGAGACGCGTCGTAAATCTTCCAGGGATAATTTACGTGGGCGCGATGTACGGCGTCACAGGTGTCGTATGGCCTCGGTGTACGATCTGCATCCAGCGCGCGAATTAACGTAATGTAGAAGGAAGATCGTGAGCGAAACGCGTTCGAGCCGTGTAACAAATGAGAAACAGATTTCATAAAGGAGAGAGAGCGGAGAATTTCTATTCCCCGTGAATTAATTCACGGCGGAGATCAAAAGGCGCTTAACACGTTGACATGCCATGACGGTCATCGGTGACCGAAGCTTGTCTCCTCTGTGGGACCATGGTGGTCACCAGTGTCCTATACTAATTTTTTAAATTTGTAGGTGTTTTGTTCCACCATTTCTGGAAAGTTTGAACAACGTAAATAAACAAAAGACATTAATAATTTGCACCATTTTTTCTTTGCCATATCATTTGATAATTCAGTATTATATCGTAGGAATAATGGAAATTTTGTCGTGGCCCCTCGATTTTTAAAAAACAGGTATATGTTTGTAAGAATTGCAGAAAACAAAATCAGTCCTTTCGAGTGAATTGGTAATTCCAATGTTAACACGTTGACTACAATAATGGTCATCAGTGATTAAAGCTTGTCTCCTCAATGGGTCCACGATGATCACCAATGTCAGATACTAATTTTTTAAATTTATATTTATTTTATTTTAACCATTCTTTGAAAATTTAAACAACGTAAATAAATAGAGAATTTTGAATAGAAAATATTAATAATTTGCACCATTTTTTCTTTGCCATATCGTTTGATATTTCATTATTGTATCGTAAGAATAATGGAAATTTTGTCGTTACACCTTGAACGTGGCAGTCATAGTGTTAACGCTAAAATTACCTAACTTTAATAGGTATCCAAACATAGCGAGCATAGTTTACAATAGTTTTAGCGACACGTTGAAGATAAATAAATATATTAATTACAGTTCCCGATTTTTCAAAAACAGGTATATGTTTATAACAATTGCAGAAAGCAGAATTCCAAGATCAGTCCTTTCGAGTGGATTGATAATTCCATTATTGACACATTGACTGCTATGGTGGTCACCAGAGTTCGATACTAATTTTTTAAATTTATATTTATTTTACTTTAACCATTCTTCGAAAATTTGAACAACGTAAATAAACAAAAGGCATTATTAATTTGCACTATTTTTTTTTAAAAATGTGAAATTTTATGTCATAAGAATAATGGAAATTTTATCGTGGCCCCCTGATCATGCTACATAAAAATTTCGTGGCAGTCAAAGTGTTAATCAGTCCTCAACTGTCCGACTGACACGTTCCTCTGCTCTGAATCGTGTCACCGATCAACGAAGCTAAAGTCAAGAAATAATTACGATTTCCACCAGAAATCCTTACCTAGAGCATCGCGAAATCAGGAGCCCAAGAATTGCGCAATCTGGTCCACCTAGAATCACCCTGAAAGAAAAAGAAGACACGTCCGCTCGAGGAATTTACGTAATCCTGCGAACGGAGCTGTTCTCGCTCGTACGCACACGTCATCGTGCGTTGGCAGCGCTTTTTTCCGCCTCACACGTGGATCCAGAAGCTCGGGGACCTGAATCGACGGTCCAAGAAACCACTAGAGCTCGTTCGACGGACATCGAGTGGCCTCTTCTCGTTCCGTCCCACCTAAGTCAACAAGCGAGGATCCCCAGGCATTCGAACGTCCGGGGTTACGGGCACGAGTGCCCGTGAATACACGCAGGTGCACGCAGGTGAACGCGACGTCGATTATGTCGGCCCCCGTGAATTCTCGCCGTGGAACGGGGCGAGGAAAGCCGCGGGGACACGCGGAAACCGTCGCGCCTGTGCGCTCGTTAAAGTCTCCGGGCCGCGTCGTTGAAGTCTCCGGCTATCCGTCGAACATGACGTTCGTTTCTTGTCGAGAACGACCGCGTCTCGAATTTTTAACGTCGCTATGGACGGAAAAGAAGCTTACCGGTTAATTTAGAATCGTTCTTCCTTCACTCGGATTAACTACCAGCCTCCAAGAAGCCAAGGGGGCAGGAAAAAGAGGAATAACAGCGAATCGAAACGCCGTGTCTCCTGTCGATGGACGATGATCACGGACGACTTTTTAATCGATCGATGGGGAAGAAAGCGAGCAAGAAAGAGAAAAATCGGGAATGGAATAGTCAAACGAAATCGTCGAGGAGTCGCATTAGATACGTGATACTCGGCTGGCGAAGATCGTACCTCTTGCAGTTCCTCATTGCTTCACGGGCGTTCATAAATTATCACAGCTTATGATATATTATACGAAGACCGTGAAATTTCCTCGATTCCAGACCAGCGTAATTAGCAATAAACGCTCCGTACGGGGACGTGGTTTCGAGCCAGTTGTTCGTCGGATCCGCGAACTTGCTCAAGATGTCTTCTTAAATTCTTTCTCTCCCTCTTTCGCATCTCTTTCACCTCCTGCGCCTTTTTCCCTCCCTCTTGCCTCGTTTCCGTGTCACGGTTAAGTCAAACGCTAGATCGCAGCCCGTCTTACGATCGATATATACCAGTGTGTTTATTACCGAGCGTTTTTAATGAGCATTTATCGTCTTCCCATCCTCGCGACGTCCCCTCGAGAATCGCGGGAAGCTGTCCTCGCGAGGCGTCTCGCGCGTTAGAACGGAATTATCCGAGAAAACGTGTTTCTTCGTAGTACATCAGCGCGGACAAATTTATTACTAAATAAATAACTCGGAAAGATAGCGCGGCGATATTCGCGCGCGCGCGCGCGTGCACGCTCGCCGTGAATCCGTCCGTGCGCGCTTCGCGGCGACGGTTCGGAATGCGAGAGACGCGCGAGACGAAAGTAATCGAATACCATCTCGAGTTCGAGGTGTATACGCGATTACGAACGGTCGCATAAGGGAAACGATGATCGAGGAGAGATTTAATGAACGACGATCAAGGCGCCACGTATTGGCTATACAATATTCTTTATTTTACTTCGTATTTTTTCGCCAAACACCCGGTGCGTATGCGCGCGTTCCGTCTGGATCACGATCGTCCATCTTCTTGGCTCGCTCCGTGGTCGTTTTATTTTTCCTCGATTCCCAGCGATTTGCACCGTAGGTACCATTGTGTTGGTCGATCCACGCAGACGATACCGGAAGGACAAGACGAGGCTTGACCACGCGTGCACACCGACGTGTCCGCGAGACTGACAGACTGACGAGTAATTGGATCGCGTTAAATAAAAGACTCGACATAAATAAAAGAAATCTCGATGCGGCTTAACGAAACACTGGCCATTCCCGAGCGTCGAGATCACGACGAAGATGGAACTTCCGGTTCTCTCGAACGCCCTCACCGGTTGCGCGTTTCTCCAAACGCGTTTACGCGAAAGGAAAAGAAAAAAAAAAAAAGATTTCGAACGCACCACACGCACAGACATATACATTTGTTCGTATCTACGTACGTACTCGTTACACGTGTACGTTAGCGCGGTTATTATTTAACGTTAAACTATCACGTGGTTTTTACTGGCACTCTCTCACTCTCTCGCTCTCTCTTTCTCTCTCTCTCTCTCTCTCTCTCTCGCTCTATCTCGCATTCTCTCCCCCCCGTGCACTAGGCACGAGAGCTGAAAGGCACCGGTTAAGGCACAATCGTCCGTCTCGCTGCGAAAGGATGTATCGAGCCGATCTTCGGCCACTCCGTCAACGAACACCTGGCGAAGCTGAAGCCGGCCAAAGGGACCGTGTCGGCTAATACCGAGGGCTTGAGCAATTTTACGTCGATCCGATCGCTGATCGTAAAGTCATTCGTGCAACTCTACACGCGGCTGCTGAAAAAAAACTCTTCCGTACTTCCTACGTCACTGTCCATCCATTGCTTCGCTCTTCCATCTCTTCCTCGCTGTCATTCCTCATCGCGTGCATGTCTCTTGCTATCGTCTTCGGCATAATTTTCGCCTTGCCTCGTTCGAATCTCCAACTTTTGCTTCGTCCTCTAAAAGGACGAAGAGCGTTTTCCCTTCACCTTCGTCTCTAGCCAGGATCACCGTCTCCCAGCAAACGCTGCAACAGACGTCGTAAGTCATCTCCTCGTCCCCGTGAAAGGGGAACAATACGAGTGTCCGTGCACGGAGGAGGCTGGCACTCCGAGCAACGCCTTCGAGCGACGATTCAACACCGACCAGTCCAGTTCCTATCGAAAGCTGTCCGCGAGCTGGCCGTGCGGGGTCACGTCTTTCTAGTGAGATCGAGGGGCGGCCCCGTGTCCTGTAGCAGCTCGTTGTCCTCGCTGTCCGTCGACCTTTCCTCTTCTGTGCTACCAGTCGCCTCCACCTCCTGCCCCTCCGTCCGGCCAGCCTTCGTACTCAAATCGATCGGTTCCTCCTGTTCCGGGCCTAAGGAGCGTAGGAACGCCAGACTCTTGTCGTACGCCTCCATTTGACTCCTCTGACACCCTCTGTCAGCCTCCCTGCACTCGTCGCGCGCGCTCCTGTTGTCGTCGTCCCTCTTGGGCGACGGAGTGGATCTGGGACTGACGCTGTCACTGGAGGAACTCGTCAGGCTGGTGACCATTTGCGGCGTGCCGGTCTGGTTCACGTAAGGGACTATGAATCGCTGTTGGAACGGAAAGAAGGGAGCGTTCAGCAGCTGCATGTGAGTCAGAGCAGGGTGGAAGAACGGTGGACCTCTCCACATGGGGAACCTGGACACTTCCGGCCTGAGCAACTCGTGAGGTGCCCTGACCAGGTCCACTGGCCTCAGAAGAGGATCCTGACTCGCTCTGGTTGGGATATCTGGCGCCCTTAGCTGTGCAGGGATATCCTGTGGCCTCAGGTCGTCCCTTTTCGGGTACCTGTCCTGATGGTGCTGATGCTGATGGTGATGGTGATGGTAACTATTCGCCGTGGTGGTGGTCGTGGTGACTATACCGACCACGCTGGTGGCGCTCGTGGTGCCCGGGTTCTCGTTATTATTGTTGTTATTGTTCGCCACGTCCAGCGAGCCGAACGCCTTCTCGTACGCGGATTTTGGGTCCTTGATGAGGCGCGTTTGCGCCTGGTGGGACTGTTCCTGGAGGAGGCAGTGGATTTTGAACCAGTTCGAGCGGCGTCCGTAGCGGGAGCCCGACTTCGACATACCCACCATCAGACACTTCCTCAGCCGGCAGGCCTTGCACGCGGTGCGGTTCTTCTTGTTGATCACGCACACGCCGCCGTTCTTGCATTCGGAGATGCTGCCTAGATTGTTGTAGGTGCGCCCGAAGAACGACTGTGGAGCAGAGAATAGTTCGACGCGTGCTCGTTAGATGGATGGATTGAATCGTACCCCTGACATAGCCCGTACCGGTATGAAGCGAGAAAAGAGCGGGAGAAGGACGATGGACGAACAGTTTCAAGGGTATTTCCACGTCCAGTCGGTCGAGTTAGGATAGAAAAGTCTGCCGGGGAGATGAGACCCCGGGAAAAGTTACACGTTCACCGTACGAACGTGCACACGGTCAATCGCTTCTTACGAAAAACGCGAATTCGAACTTTCTACGAGAAACGTGAAACCAGAGACCCGTGGGTCAACACGGTCGGTACAGTGCCCGGTAATTGTAACGTGAGGATGATGCACGCGTCTGCACGCTTAAGGCTACAATTTTATTTGCATTCGCAGGTATATATATATATAAATATATATGCATACCTGGCGAGGGAAGAAAAGAGAGAGATAAAGAAAGGGGGAGAGGCAGAGATAGAGAGAGACGGGTTAAGAGCGAAAGATGCGAGAATATAAACGGCCATTGAATTTTTCCGCCGGTCTGATGATCTAAAGAGAGCAAAGGGTTCGTGGATACTGACCTTGCAACCTTCGCACGTGAAGGCCCCGAAGTGAAAACCCGCGGCCGGCTCTCCGCAGACCCTGCAGAGCTGATTCATCTGCAACAAAAAGATGCGACATGTGGTTACGGTTCGGCTAAGAAACCGAAGACGCTTAGAATGCAGCGGTGATCATGCTGCAAGCACGCGCAATATGTGCCAATCATGGAAGCGTTTCTTGCTCGTCCCCGACGATCTCCGGGTAAACGAAGAAGTCGAGGAAGAACCGGAGAAGGAAGAAGGGACGAATACGGCCATGGGGGAGGAACAGAGGAGGAAAAGAAAATTAGGAAAAGAAGGAACGAAACGGGGAAAAGAATAATAATTTCTCAGAGCAAACGATACCGGATAAGAACCTCGGACGATATCCATCGGACGGTGCTCCCGCTGCTAACGTCATTTATTTCAGCGACGATCGCGGGACACCGTTTAGCTACGTCGGATTAATCATTCGACGTTTAACCAGCTCCGGTCGATAGGACATTTGCGTATCCCGCGACGTTTCCGCGTCCAACGTTCCGCGGCTCGAACCCTCGCGGCGAGCGATTAAAAAGCCGGTACTCGCGTATCGGCACGAGCAGGGAAAAGTTTTCGATGATCCGGCGTGATTTATCGCGCGGTCGAGGAAAGGATCCGTGAATGATGGGATCGATTCGATGTATGGCGATTCCGTTCGAATCGATCGTAACGCAGACCGCCAATCACTTACGACCCGCGATCGTAAGAGTTGAGAATCTTCGTGATAGAGAGAAATGGAAATGGAGAAAGAGAGAGAGGGTCGGTCATGTGTGTTCACGCTCGAAAAGAGACGCAGTCACGGTAAAAAGGGGACCTTTTCTTGCCTTCTCTCTGGAGGTTGCAAGAAGAGTCGAGGATTCGGTTGCGAGACCGTGTTCCTATTAAAACCTAGTTAGCCAGTCATTACGGGCTGCAGCGTGTAGAACGCACAGGTTCAAGACGCGACGATCCGACGAGAAAGGATGACCGGCACGGGAAAGGTAAAATCGTACGTGGACTGGAGAATGTGCATGCGATACGAAAAGAATCGTTTATGCTCTCTGAGAGACATCGAAAGCCTATCGATTTTGGCGAGTATCTTTCTTGTGGGAAATTCAATTGTGCCGGTGTTTGTGGAAGTGGTGGAAATTTACTCGTTTTAAAATAACTAAATATTTCTCGACTAGTCCAGGTAATGAATACACCTTCCCACAGAATTCACGAAAAGAAATGTACCTTTTCGAATACCAAAATAAACATTTATCATTTCCCAATTGTCTTAAGTCCCTCGTGGGAAATTCATTTTAAAATAATTAAATATTCCTCGACTAATCCAGGTAACGAATCTTCTTCCCACAGAATTCACGGAAAGAAATACACTTTTCCCAATACCCCAATAAACATTTGTCATTTCCCAACTATCTTACATCTCTCGTGGGAAATTCACGTACCAATTGTGCCGGTGTTTATAGAAGTGGTTAAAATTCGTTCATTTTAAAATAACTAAATATTACTCGACTAATCCAGATAATGAATACTTCTTCCCACAGAATTCACGAAAAGAAATACACTTTTCCCAATACCCCAATAAACATTTGTCATTTCCCAACTATCTTACATCTCTCGTGGGAAATTCACGTACCAATTGTGCCGGTGTTTATAGAAGTGGTTAAAATTCGTTCATTTTAAAATAACTAAATTTTACTTGACTAATCGAGGTAATGAATACTTCTTCCCACAGAATTCACGAAAAGAAATACACTTTTCCGAATACCTCAATGAACATTTGTCATTTCCCAACTATCTTACATCTCTCGTGGGAAATTCACGTACCAATTGTGCCGGTGTTTATAGAAGTGGTTAAAATTCGTTCATTTTAAAATAACTAAATATTCCTCGACTAATCCAGATAATGAATACTTCTTCCCACAAAATTCACAAAAAGAAATATACTTATTCCAATACCCCAAATATACATTTGCCATTTCCCAACTATGCTACGTCACAGAGCAAACTACTTTTGCCATTAACAGTTGCTCAATCTCGCGTCGAGCGGGTTACAGTATCCAAGAAATAATTAAAAAACTCGAAGAAAGTACTCGCTCGCGAAAATTTCGAAACTTCTTAACGAACTGTTCTCGGGAGAGGGAATATCGTGCGTAGACCCACACTTGTCGAGGTAACTCGCGGAAGAATCGTACTACCGTAAATTCCCTCGTCGCGATGAAGGGTGTACCTATTTATCTATTTATCCAGTTAACGATTTCGCAAATGAAAAGGCAACAGTCGATGCAAAGGGAACGTTCGTCATATTACGTCAATGCGTACTCGCGAGCCAAGAGCGGAGTTCTCGGAACGGCTGGGGCCAAAGGTGGACGTTTCGAAATATTTTTAGAATTCGATTTCCTTTTTTTTCTTTTTTCCCTTCAACGAACGGTACGCGTATCGACTACATGGCAATATCGCGCGCGAGATCGAGGCGATCCAGAGGAGCGCGATCGACGTTCTGCTCGGAAGGATCTGAACCATCTTTTGCCTAGACACTGCGTGTCCGTGATAGTTCGAGACACGGAATGCAATGTGGTAATCGCTTACGCGTGAAAAGGCGGCTTGACGAGCTGGACGAGATGATCGACAGTGAACAGGGATTAAGAAAAGTAATTAGAGGATCGGATGCTAAGAGAAGCTGACGCGTTGTTTCCATCACGCTGTGTTTACGATCCGCGCGATTTCCTCGTGAAAGAGCAAACTGAATCGTGCAGCTTTTCACGAACGAGATAATAGTATCCGTCGTCTTCTGTTGGCAGACCAGAAAAGCCTGTCGAAGAGGTGCCATTCGGGACCAATTCTTGCGCGAGCTTCGAGAAAAAGGTACTTATACCGCAAACACGTCTAGGTATCTTTACGTCGTTCTCGTCGTTTTAATTGGCACTTGTTGAATTTACATTGAGGAGTTATTTTTTCCAAACACGATAATGGCATTTTCCCATTTCACTTTTAGGTCAGTGATTCTGAATGACATCACGGTATTTCATACTTCTATACTGAGTCATAGTCGCATGCTTATCAGTCGCAAATTTCGAGATATTTTCAGTTTCAGATCAGATTCTTCTGGTTTGTTGAATTAAGAATTTCCTTAAATACTTTTTTCTAAATAATTGGAGAAATTAGATCTCTAAAACTGTCTATAGGATTAAATTCCGTGAATGAAGCTATAAAGATAATTATAATATCGTCTCCTATTTTATAAATAAATTCTGAAGAATATTTTTCAATCGCGTTACGTATATTTTTATATCCAAAACTCTACTTTCGAACTGCTTGAAAATAAAATAATAAAATAATAAACATTCCGAAATGTCTAAGACCCTCAACGCTATTAATCGTAGAAATCCTAAGAGTGTATCAATTTTTATTATTTTCAAAAACTATAATTTTCCTAAAATATAATATTTACACATTGTATACATTATGAATCTTACAATATTCTGTAAATTCTATTTATACAATATATACATAATAGAGTGGTATTAAAACGGAGTATCTAGCATAGCCTAAACGACCGTCTCCAATATCTTGATTAAAAATTCTGCATTCAGTCTATCTATTTATCTATTCCTATTTTAATTATAATTATTTCACGTTAACCCTGTTGAAGATTTTCACACTTTTCATACTAGGTATTTATTATTAAGAATGCATGCTTATTATAGCACGAACGTTCCTCATTTCACGTATCTTTTACCACCATTCAAGATTCCAAAATACAACTATTATCAATTACCCCTTTCCAACATTTTTCTTAATGGTATCACCAATTTTTCAACACCTTCCAATTCAACACTACCCCATCTACCAGTCATTTAATCACCGTACTAAGTTTATTATCAATCCAGCCAAGGATTTAACAGCTCCAGCTACTCGGGGTGTTCTCCAAAGCTGAAAGTTCCCTGTCGCGTATCAAAAATGATTTCCCGTTCCAGCGGGTCGCGTATCTGGGTGAGAGGGCTGATGGTTTCTTGTGGGAACGGTCTGCAAAAGCGCAGCCTGCTAAAAAAGGTTAAACGTCCAACAGATGACGCGGCTGTGTCACCTCGCTTCTAATCCTCTGCACTCGGCCGCACTGCAACGGAACTAAATAATGTCCGCCGTGTCTCTCGATGGCCTCTCCTCTCTCCTCTCGTCCCATCGCTCCGCGTTCCGTTGTTCACGCGGCGAGAACACACGAACCCTGCACCGTCCGTCGACGACCGTCGCGCGATATTCGACCTCTGGTTCCGACCGCTTAATCGCGCACCCGCATCCGCGGGGACGACGTCTCATTAAGTGACGCGCGAAGGTAATGCCGATGACGAATGGCACTCGACGAAGAAATGAAAGTAGCGTGCCAACCGGGGATATATTTTTCCCCGCGTTACACGGCTGATGATTCGCCTTTACGCCGTGGCGCGCACGCACGCTTCACGCCGCGTTTTTTCCGCCCCGACGCTCCGCTCGCAAACGCGGGCCCGCTGGAACAACCGAGCCTTTATCCTCTTCTTGCCGTTTCCGAAGCATGGAAATGGCAGCAGAGGATAGTTTGAGTAATTGACTGGCAGCTTTAATGGGTAATTGCCGCGCGAGGGTTGAAGGCGCAGATGTAAATAAAGCAATGGCTCGATGCATGAATTCCTCTGTGTTCTTTAGGGTTCCGGATGAATGGGTATTGAACAATATTTCCGTGAATTTTCAGTTAATTTGGTTAATCGTAAAGGGATGCACAGGGAAGCTTGAAATGGAATATGTTTGAATAGAATATTTGATAGGAATTTTTATAATTATTTTAGTATTAGTTTAGAATGGTTAAAAATCACCCTGGTTTATACAATTAGATGAAAAGACATCTTATGTTATTGGTGAAGAATAAATTTCTTCTCCAATATTTTGCAGGAAGGCTCTTTTCATTTTACTGAATATATATTTTAGAAGATGAAGAATAAACAAAAATTTGGAAATCATTACTTTCTTCATTTTTACCGGTAAGAGTACGTGACATGAATGCAGGACATGAATAGATGACATGAGTACAGAGCATGAATGATCTTTACCAAAGTTTAGGATGATTGGAAATCACCCTGGTATATACAATTGGATACAGAGACATGTTATATTATTGGTGAAGAACAAATTTCTTCTCCAATATTTTGCAGGAAGGCTCTTTTCATTTTACTGAATATATATTTTAGAAGATGAAGAATAAACAAAAATTTGGAAATCATTACTTTCTTCATTTTTACCGGTAAGAGTACGTGACATGAATGCAGGACATGAATAGATGACATGAGTACAGAGCATGAATGATCTTTACCAAGGGAATTTAAAAATTAGTTGGAATTGTTAATTTTTGATTTTGCAATGATTGAAGAACTTTTAATTAGGGGGAGAGAGATGTATGTACTATTTGTCAATACAGGATTTTGACAACTAGCTTCATCTTCCAAATTAATCTCCTCGACTAATATTATCTAAATAACTAAGTATACTACATTTAAATACTTCTTAGTACGAAAACAAGGGGGTTGAAACAAGTTACTTCCTATTCTAAAACGAGAAAGTAAAAGTATATAGGTTGTATATCCGGCAGTAAATCAATTCGTGTGAAGTATTTTCCCCTTTATAGCTTATCTTTAGTCAAAGTCTTCGATTATGCTTTATATCTTCATTTTTGTATCCCTCCTCGTCATTACACAATTATATATAACGACGTTGGCGATTCACCGTCGCCGATCATTTTTACACGATCTTGCACGTTGAATCGCATACGTGATCGAGCTGAAAAATTCACGAATCACTCCGATAAACTGCGCACGCTTCTTCAAACAACCTTGTACAGAACGTGTTTTATTCGCGAGTCCGCGGGAATTATGGCAAAAAGCAGCGATTTAAATCAATACCAGCGAGCTACAACCGCCGACACGAAGAATGATCAAACCCGCCATAATACCATTACACACCGTATGCTAACCCGTATCACCCTACATACCACGCTCTCTCCCCACTGATTTACATAAAACGGAATAAAAAATCGACCGACCCCCGATACAAATGACCGAAACTCAACACGCATCGGCCGACTCGACAACACGAACGACACACCGCGTCCAGTTCAAGGAAGAAAGATGCGAATAAAAAAGGAGGAAAGGGAAATAAAGAGAAAAAGGGAAGCAAAACTCACCACGTCGGTGTTGGCCGCTGCCGTGGCGATCGTCGACGTAGGCGTCCACCACCCTGCGGTGGCGGATGTCGTACTTGTAATGACACCAACACCCGTTGCTACAGGGATGGATCCGCTCCCAGCCAATCCTGCCGAGCTCGACAAATCGCCCACGTCCATTCGATGTTCTTTAATCTCTCGATGCAAACCGTTCGCGCCGGTCCCTCGAGCCGTCTGTTCCGTGTTCGATGTCGCGACCCAACATTTTCGTGCGTGTCTTACAAGCGCCGCTCGCCGTCGAAAATTTCCTGGGGCACCGCGGATTCTCACGGTCCCCGGTGAAACCGGGACCACCGGGCCGCTGCGTCGATCCCTCTTCGATACCTTTTCCTCGATTCTGCGTCAACTGCAACCACCGTCGGCTATTCGAATCGCGTTTTAATCTCTCCACGTGCCGCCGATCTCCGATCGCGGTGTCACAGTGTTCGCGGTGGTTCTGTGTCGTGACACGTGATGGAAGATGCTTTGGTTCGGATTGCTTCGATGAAAGGGTGTCGAGCAGCGAAGAATTCGAGCTAAAAACATGCGTCTTCCTCGTTCCGGTTGTTCCGTGGTGATTCGATTGATGACTCGCTGATCGAGATTTTAATTTTCGAGATCTTGGTGAAAGACTACGGTGTACATGATCGCTTTGTCTTAAGGCGTCCCAGACGTTTGGAACCCTAGCATGAAACCGATTTAGACAGTTGACAGCTGTCAAGTGTTTATTCTTCCTTGACTCTCGGTGTTTCAGTGTTATTCTCTGCCACGTTCGCACGAAACAGGTCGAGACTTATGTTTTACCATGGTTCCAGACATCGGACAGGAAGCATTTGCTCTATAATTGTATTATATTTCTTAGTTAAAATTACTGTTTCACTGAGTACGTGTGCACTGTGTTTTTTAACGTTAAATTTACGACAGATCTCAATCTAGATTATTGATTTATACTGAATAGATCACGAGTATCTCTATAGTGGTCATCTTCTGAGATATTTCTAAGGTTTCGACTGAAAAAACTTTTTCTCCCGTCGAGTTATCGAGAGAAGATATATCGGGAAGATTGCTCGCGAGGAGCAGAAACTTTCTGGTAAAAATAATTGGAAGTGCAAAGAGTTTAACGAAGAAAACGTACAATCGGAAACATGATAATTAACTCCTCAACGGTTACTTCATACTCCCGCCTTAACAACCTGAACGTACGTCGATTTTTACTGTTATCCAATTAACCAGCGATGTCACACCTGCATTCCATTTTCTACAGTCGGAAATTTCAAAATTCACCGAGAAGAAAATATTCTAACCTCGAAGGTTCAAGGAAAAAGGAAACAAGGAGTAACCTTAATGGCGCGTCGTCCATTTTAAATCCCCGAGATAATCGCGCGGATCGAAAAGGAACGCGACGATTCGGGGAATCTTCATTAACTCGATCGAAAGGCCGGGCAGAATTTCCCTCATTCCTTCGAAAACGAAAGCGAGTAGAATTGCATCGAGGTGGCGCGCTTCCGGCGACCAAAACCGTCCGTGGCCGCCATTTCTTGCGCGGACCTCGTCGAGATAACATGTCGTGTTTACAGCGGTGTGACGCCATTACCATGTTAACGGAGCCCGCCTCGCAAGAGACGCATAAATACGAGCGCTAATTACGGCTCCGACCACGTATTAATTTCATCCGTGCGCGGGAACCGAACCCGTGTACGCCTGGTGAACCGCGACGCGTGCGAGCCTGCCCGCGCTTCCGATTAACGAGATTTCGTTCCCGATGCTGTTTAAAAGAGGAATCGAGTCCTCGAGACCGACCAGTGCCACGATTTCTTTCTGCAGAACGAAACGAGTGGAATTTCGCGTCAGGACACTCCGATCCTTCATGATGGAAGCGCTATCTTCGTCAATGTGGAGGCTTCTTGAGTGTAAAACAGGGTTATGATATAGCATACGATGATACCTCGACGATTTAGTGACAGTTCGAAAGGGTAAGTGATTTAGATGGATCTCAAAATGACGTTATTTAGATGGGTGAACTAATCTTATGATCACTGGTCATTATTGGCCGAATTCGCTGACAGCTACTAGGGTCTGTGATAGCAGTGAAGGTGTCAAAATAGAGTCTCATGAAAAATTAAGATTGAACGACCTGGATAATCGTTTTGCAACTTTCGATTGAGCACCCTGCCATAAATATTGTCCCTTTCGTCCCTGATTTGGGAACATACGATTGAAGACCCTGTCATCAACATTGTCCATATCGTCCCTGATTTGGCAACTTTCGATTGAAAACCCTGTCATCAACATTGTCCATATCGTCCCTGATTTTTCAACTTTCGATTGAGGATTCTGTCATCAACATTATCCTTTCGTCCCTGATTTTCTAACTTTCCATTGAAGGTCCTGTCATCGATATTGTCCCTTTCGTGCCTGATTTGACAATTTCTGCTGATAAAATGGACGCATAATTGATTTTCTTATTCTCTTTCCTATCTACAATTTACATAGCTCATTCTGTCAATGAAATAACCGATATTTATATCAATATCGTACGATTTCTGTAAAATTCGACGACGCAGGGAACTTTTACCACCAAAACGGAACCAATTTCAAGCGCAGAGAATCGCGCAAGACGATTCTCTGTCGAGGAAAAACACGGTACCGGAAATGCCACTGACTTCCGTCGATCTGACAACGAACAGGGCTCGTTATCTACCATGGAACACGAAGAAGGAACAAATTACATACACGTTACTGAAAGATCGGAGAATTTTAATTAAGTGGCCAAGGAACTTCGCCAGGATCGATTTGCAGCCATCGCTGGATGACGCGATCCGATCGAGGAAGCAGGAGGAAAATTTCGAGTGATGCATGGACCGGGAAGAGACGTTCCGTTTCGTTTCTTTTTTCCCTTCCTTCTCCCTCGTCCGCTAGTCGTGATTCAGAAAATGGCCATCGCGAGATATCGAACCGATCGGAACAGCGAACCGTGTAACGGCGAAACACTGCGGGGATCGCGGGACTCCGTGATGCCGGTAAATTTTATCGCGTAGACGTCTTCCTTAAATAATGACAAATTAATTAAGGTGCCGTATCGCTGGCGCGGAAGACCGGTTTACACGGAGCGTATCGTCGCCTCCGCGCGGCTCCTATAAATCCCGGTTTCTACGGGCCAACGTTCCCGTTTACTGCGGGAAATATAACGCGACAAAACGAATTTCCACGATCGTTGCAACGGGCCGTGCAGGAAATTGTAATATTATTTCAATTTAACGACGAGACGCCGGCGGAATCAGCGGCTGGCAAATGGCTTGTAATTTCGCGATCCCTTCCGCGCGATAATTGATCCGATCGTTAAATCGTTACGCGAAATTCACGATTCCACGACATGGGTGTAGTTCATTATCGACTCTCTGGATTCGACTTCGACATCGCGTTTCTAATGGCAAGGAATTCGAGGATCGTCGGGATCTATGACGCTGAACGTCGCTCGATGATCCATTTCAGACATGATCAGCTTCGTTCGATCAATCACGGCTGATCGTAATTGATTCAAAAATATTGGAATTTTGAAGCTGTTACTTTATTTAACTCTTTGACTGCCACGCCGAAATCACACGATTCGCTCGGGACGCCACGGGAGTATTTTTATTATTCGAAGCCTTGTAATGGAAAAATAATAATAAATTGGTGATATAAGGCAACACTCTTACCCAATGAAGCGTTTGTCTTATTGGCAGTCACGGGTGACCACTAGTGGCGCCTTGGTAACGGTTGACAGTCTATTTACTGTCAATTTTCACTCAATTTTTGCAATTGTAAGTAGTTCGAACGCTCTGGTCACCAATGACCTGTCACTGTGGCGTCACAGAAACAATGGCCTGTCATATATGACCAACGTGGCAGTCAAAGCGTCAACTGCAAAGAGAACCACGATGACCTGTCATTCCCCGATTTCGATACTCTCGACTCCTCGAGACGAAAATTTCTTTTGATCACGTGAAATAGACCATAACGATAACTAACACATAGCACATAGCCCTATTATCCCGCCATCTTTAACTCTTTGACTGCCACGCTGAAATCACACGTTTCGCTCAGGGCACCATGGAAGTATTTTTATTATTTGAAGCATATAATGGAAAAATAATAATAAATTGGTGATATACGACAACATTCCTACCCAATGAAGCGTTTATCTTATTCACAATCACGGGTGACCACCGGTGGCGCCTTGGTAACGGTTGACAGTCTACTTACTGTCAATTTTCACACAATTTTCGCAATTGTGAGTAGTTCAAACGCTCTGGTCACCTATGACCTGTCACCGTGGCGTCACAGAAACCGTGGTCTGTCATATATGACCAACGTGGCAGTCAAAGTGTCAACGATTATTACCTCAAACATGGATCTAATGCTACTATTCGCCGCGATGATTATCGCGTAATCCCCTCACTGTGGATTTTTCGCGCCTAAAACGGTGTATCTTACAACTCCCATGCCGGTGCATCTAAATCGAGTAATTCCACTTTGAATCGCAGTTAGAAGGAACCCGACGAACAGGCTGGATTCCACGGATTAATCGACGTCTACGTGCCTTTGATAGCTCGACGAACAAACGCGAAAATTCGCGTCTAATCCGTGCAACAAGGCTATTCAAATGACCGAGAGAGGCTTCCACTGAGAGCTCGTTTTCGCGGAATTGTACGTCGTTTCGAATCATAAAGGAGGTGCAAGGGGTAAGACAGAAAAGACGGAATACAAGGCTCGCGCGCGATTCGCAGAATATTTTCAGCGACGATTCCCCGCGGGATCGGACCAAGAACAGAGAGGCTCTCGCAACGTTACCACGAGCGCAACAAGTTTGCAGTCCTTGAAATAATCGCTCTTTTACCCGCACAAGCGTTACCGCGTGTATGCAAACGTAATACATCGCGTCACTCTTTAGAAGACCGCCTGGCAAGCTGGATTAGCAGCATCGCACAATCCGTGTCCGAGAGGGACTAAAACCGACCAGGCCTCGTCGACAGCGAGCTATTCCGATTACTCAAACCACGGACACTGAACGTTCATCGCGAGGGAACACGTTATGATCCGACATTTTGCACGGGACCATTCGCGACACGGTATTTCTACCTTTACGAAGATGGATTTATCGAACTATATATCGAGATCTATTATTACATCTATTGTAAATCTATTATCCCCGATGCATCCTCCAGGGTATTAAGAATAAGAAATCCTCGAAAATATTGAGAATAAAAATAAGAAAGGAATGATACTGGGAATAGAAAATCTGCGATGAAAAGGAAACGTCGAATCTCTGCGGAATCGAAAGAAGAGTTGAAAAATAGCGAGAAACAGCAGGAAGATCGAAGGATCGACACGGATATCGATACCGTGACTTCGATATCTGATCGAGGAGGAAATAGAAATATGGAAGAAATCGTTCACCAAATCAGGAATACGGGTCCAACGCGAACGGAGTCAGACACACGACGCGTAAAGGCCTATCTATTATATCATCTTCGTTTCATCCTCGAAGATACTGAGAATAAGAAATCCTCGAAAGCACTGAGAATAAAAATAAGAAAGAAATGATACCGAGAATAAAAATAAGAAAGAAATGATACCGAGAATAGAAAATCTATGATAGAAAAGGGACGTCAAATTTTTGCTGAACC